AACTATTTTGGGATTTTTGAGCTACATTTTTTTTCTATTTTAAAATATTTGTAGTTTAATTTCTTTCATTATACAAGATAATTTTGCTAATAAATTTGTAGTTAGGAATATCATAATAAATTAAAATTCTTAAATTTGATATAATTTTTTAAAAGCTCCCATTCCTTATATGATATCATTTAATAGAATACATTTCATAATTAGAATCGTTTATTCTTTTGGTCACCGTTTAAAAGTCATTTATTTTTCATTCCATTTGAAGACTATTGAGTCATCCATATCAAAAGGAAAATTATAGTACAACTACACTTATATTGTTAGATTAAGTTGGTTTAATTGTTTAAGACATGAATCTCAAAATTTTAACTAATCTAATGGCAATCAACGAGAGAGGGGGAGTGAGAATCATCCTCACTTTAGGGCGTGACGAACAATGCAATGAAAAAGGTTCATTATAAGATGCTACTAATATCATAACCAGTGATTCGTTTAACACATAAATTTTTCTTGAGAAGAACTCTAGATGATAAGAAGAGCATGAATGGTTTTGATTATAGTATTTGTACGGTGATATGACAGGTACATAGTCATATCACCATGATTTTTGTATTTAAAAAGTATGGAGATTCTAACCAAAAACATATAGAACGCAGATAGGTACATGACTACCACACTATGCTTCATTTTTCTTTACTTATTTTCTTTTGCATTATATCAATTTACACACAATAAACAATATAAAATATAAAAGAAAATATAGCAACCAAAAGTTTAGACCATGCAAGGGCCTCTGCTTGAGTCTCGCAAAGAGCCTCCAAAATCTCAGGACCGACCCTGTTAAAGAGCAGAGGCTGACGGGGCTTACGATTGTGCCTGCCCCCTTTGGTCGGTGCGTGCCTACCCCAACCTATAAAACCAATGAACCATGCCGAGACACAGAGACACCATCGTCCAACGGAAAACAACAAGTCATAGACATCACCTACCAAGGCACGTGTAGCCTTGCAGGGAATCATATCACATCTCCTTGTGAAAGATGCGCTCGACTTGAATGGAATCTCATCTCCTTGAAATCACATATTCTGCTCAGATATATTACATATAAACTGGTAAACTAATATTGTGGAATGGTAAGATTTTCAAGCACCTCAAGCTTTCTTTCTCGTATTTAGTTCTCATAAAGAACGATTGGATCAGTTTGGCCTCATAAAGAAAGATTGGATTAGTTTGGCCATCTTTATTAAATTAATTATGACCGGAAGAATATGGCATGCTTTAAGCTTTCTATTTCGATATTCATGCCAATGTTTTGGGTTCAATTGATTTAGTGATAGATACAACTATTTTGGCTAATATTGTTGTCAATTTTGTAAGCATATACAAATATATACTTCTGTACTAATCTTGTCAAGGAAGACTATGAAGCATCCCAAGTTAGCAAGCTCGATAAAGTCTCCTATCAAAGCAAACAATATTGATCATTATAATTTATATATGTCAATTACGAATTAATTAGTTAATCATGCATATGGTTAGGTTTGACTATTAAGCTTTAAACTTGGTTATCAAAACAAAGAGAAAATATACGTTTTGAACATGATTAATTCTTATATGCATATAAGTGGCATACAGAACGAGGGAAAAGTAGAATTTTTAGGACATGCCAAGATGCATGCATATAAAAGTGCATATATATCTTGTTTGTTCATGGCTTTTCATTAGTAATGTGCATGAGTGAGCTTATTGGTTGGTCCAGGGAAGCGCCGAACAAGCTCTTCAAGATTAAGGTTGTGAGGATGTTGATCGCCTAAATGTTAACGGTGATGTCCCAAAAGTCGTTGCCAATTAGCCAAGTCGTCATCAAAGGTGATCTTGATCTAGGTTCAATTCAGTGAAGGGTGTCGAAGTGTGTAAAGATGAGTGTATTAAGATTTGTTTTTTTTTTTAGAGAATAAAGGGCGAATGAGGTAGATAAATGTGGACTTGAATCGAAGGTGATTGTAGGACTGGGTTTTTGGGTTGACAAATTTTTTATTAACTATTAAATTATTAAGGCTATTTGTAATTTTTTTTTAAATTTAATTAGACTTTATGTGACCCATTTATGTGTCACACCAAAACATAACAGAATTTTTGATAGAATTGTGACAGAATTACTACATTGATTTGATACACTTAATTACAAATTACAAGATTACATTGATCAATTTTCAATTTTTTATTAACTATTAAATTATCCTAAGTTGAATTTTCAGTTAGTTTAATTTGGACATGGATTCTCTCCGGATCCAGTTGTCCTAATCCTAGGGATTCATCAATCCGGATTGTTGAAATTTGATACAACAATTAAAGTTATTATAACTTTTAAACTAGGTCCCTCTTTGTAGCCGTTGGATCAAATTTCAACCGTCTGGATTGATGGATCCCTAGGATTAGAACAATTGAATCTGGAGAGGATCCATGTTTGTTTAATTTCAACAAGTTTTTGGCGTTGTAAAACTTTTGGTAACATCTCAAATCCGAAACCTAAGGGGGGTGTAGTCAAATTAGGATTTGGTAGGATTTTAATAGACTTTAAAATCTGGGTGTAGTCGATTAGAGTTTTAACAGAGGATTTTAAAAGATTATGAAATCATGGTGTAGTCAAATTAGGATTTAAGAGGATTTTAAAAATACACCCAAATCAAGGGATAGTCGATTAAGAGTTTAAAGACTACATTCAAATCAAGGGATAGTGAGAATGTCAAAGATTTATTAGGATTTTAATGGCTGAGGGATTTTGAGGGATTTGAGAGTGGATGGTATAAATACAAGGGGCCATCAAGAATCCAACCCTACCCCATGTAATTTCTTTTCAAGTTCATCACAGAAGTGGAACAGTCTTCCTCTCACACGTCTTCCCCTATCCCTTCAAGGCAGTGGCGAAGCCACGTGAGGGCGAGGAGTGGCGGCCGCCACTCCCCTCGCCGGAAAACAAGTCCAGGAGCGGTGGTTTCGCCCCTCTGGTCCCGTCGAAAATGCTTGTTGGTGCGGTGGTTCCGTCTGTGTTCATCTGGATCTGGGTTTGTTGCTGATACGCAGCTCTGCTGCGTTTGGTTTTATATTTTTCTCAAAAGCCAGACTAAACGACACCGTTTAGTCCTAGTTAAAAAAAATTCCTTTAATGCAACGACATCGTTTAGTTATAGAATTGAAAAATAAAATTAATCAGATGGCAGCAGAACAGATCCCAGCAAGTAGCCTTATTCCCCTGCTACCAGACATTAAGGCTTCAACTTCAAGCTTTTAAGCCATCCAAGCCGCAAGCAGCCAGCCTCCAGTCGCCATTCTTGGCCCCCTTTCTCTTAGATGAAGTTTTTAATTTCCAAATTTATGTTAGCCTTAATCCTAATTGCTTATTTAATTTGAAATTTTGTTTATTTGACGTAGAATCATAGAGTAATTAATCAATATGGTTATTAATTATTGAATATGAATATGAAATCTTATAATTATTGATGAATAAACTTGTTATTTAAAGTAAAAATTGAATTCTTGATTATTCTCATTGATATTGATTAATTGAATTGAATTTTGTTTAATGAATAATTTATATGATATTGGTATTGATTAAGAATCTAAGACTTTTTTTTCCAAAGTATACAATTACGTAATGAAATGATACAATAAGAAACAATGCTTAAACCCTCCTCCAAATATTCCAAGTGGTCATCCTTTAAATATTTCAGGTAGTCCTCTTCGACTATTCCGGGTGGTTCCCAACAAAGTGAGGACACTAAGTTGGATGAAATATTGGCTAATCTTTTTTAACCTTGCACTCTTTTAAGTTCGCCCCAACCCGCCACTAGTGCTATGGTCTAGTGGTATTTCTCTTCACTTGTAAGTGAGAGAACTTAGGTTCGATTCTCGCCAAAGTCAAATTTGAACCACATTATTGCTAGTTCATTGTCAGGCTTAGCTCATTCCCCTACCCCCTTAGTGTAGATAATATCGTTTGTTCGGAAAAAAATAATAATAATTCGCCCCTCCCCCCGACAATTCCTGGCTTCGCCACTACTTCAAGGTATTGCTTTTCTCTTCCCAACTTGTATAATTCTGGTATGGTTGATTTGTTTCACAGATTACTGCTGCATTCCTTCTCATACATATATATCTATACGTATAATACCACATATCCCTAGCTTCTTCGAATTCATGCTTTTTATGTTGATTATTTTTCAGTTGTATTGTTTTTCTATTTGATAGCTGAAAAACTGATACATTTGATGTAATGAAAAGAGAAAACCTAATATACATGCAATAGATTAGCTAATATGCATGTTTTTTTAACCAGCCGAGAGGAACTTTGGATATTTTATTCCAAATAATTGAAAGGGGATTGAATAAATTTGATGGGTTTTTATTATTTCTTAAATATATGTGGTCTGTGAGAATTCAAGAATTGTTGTTTTTTATTAGAAGTGTATTTGGGTTTAGTTCTTAATCTGTGTTCAGTTCTCCATTGTCATTGTTAGGTTAATTAAGGATCAAAATTCTAGTTTCTGATCACTAGTCCATTTTTCCTTTCGCTATAAAAAAAGAGGGCAGTTTCAAAGGTTTCGTGGACTGGAACTTTGCTCTAAAATCTCTTATATAATCCTTTATGGTTGGGAAAATCCTTAAATTGATGCCTTTCTTTATTGTATGATTTCAACCATAACGAGATTTCTTCAACATTATATAATCCTTTATGGTTGGGAAAATTCTTGTTTCTCTTGCTTGAGGAAACTGTTTCTCTTTTTATATATATCAACTTTTGGAGATTCTTTGCGACTGTTGTTGATGTGGTGCGTTGATTTTTGGTTTCTGCAAATGATCATTCATAGGTCATTTGCATTATTTTATTCATTTGTTAAGAGTTTAGATTGAATATTTTCCCCTAGTTTTGTTTGTTGTATTGAATTTGGTTATTATGATTAGCATTTTTTCATGAATTTGGTTATTATGATTAATTAGACTAGAGCTTACTATGTTTGTTTGGTTAATTAAGGTACTATGTTGCTTTATTAACGCATTGCATATTATATGATTCGGATGGTTTTTGTTAAGTATGTCCTAAATTGATTTTTTGTTACTGCTACTGCTTCCATCACTAGTAATTAGAAATGGGAGACGAACAACAAGAAATTGGAAAAGTGAAGGCCAAAAGTGATTATACCGCTTGAACTTTGGAAGAGAGCAAAATGTTGTTACAATTGCTCATTGAAGCTACATTGCGTGGATGGCGTGATGCTAATGGCTTGCTAACCAAAGATATTGTTACGACAAGAATACTTCCGGCACTTAATGAAAGACTAAAGTGTAATAAAACTTATAAGCATTACACAAGTCGAATGAGATATTTTAAGAAAGAATATGGAAAGTATAGTCAACTTATGGGAAGCAACTCTGGCTTTGGGTGGGATGCAAACACAAAGAGATTTGTTGCTGATGACGAAGTTTGGGAAGAATACTTTAGGGTGAGCTTCTTGGCTTTTATTTAAAATATTAAATGTAACTTGAATGTATACTTATAATTTATTGAACAATTGTGATTTTCTTGTTTATTTTGTAGGCCCACCCAGACCAAAGAAACATTCGTAAAAAATCTTGTGATGACTTTGAAGATTTGCAAATCGTACTTGGGAATGCAACTGCCATTGGAAAACACTCATTGGGATTGGGTGAGGAAACTGATGCAAGAACTTTTGTAGTGGAAGATGGACAAGGTGGAACAGAGGAAGATGAACAAGTTGGAATAGAGAACTTGTTTTATGATGAGGAAAATAGGGGCTTTGTACTAAATCAAAACCAAGCATCACACCAAACTTCATCATTCGATCAATCATCCCCATTCTTACCCACTCAAACCACTAGTTTAGAGATTCCCCCAGAAATCACCAACCGTAGGAAACGAAACAGAACCCAATACCAAGGGAATACTAGATCATCTGAGACCACTAATCAAGCTAGAATTATGGAAAATATTTCACTTACTCTCGATTCAATTGCCACTGACTTCTGAGGAGTCCATAGTCTGTTGGAGAAAAGGGATAAGGATAGAGAGAGACAAAATTCTATGGGATGCCATCAAGGAAACCCCAAATTTGGATGAACCTGCTCGCTATCAAGCGGTCGCTTTGCTCAATACTAAAACAAAAAAGAATGCATTTCTGAAGATGTCACCGGAAGAGCGGTCAAATTGGATATGCTATAATTTGAAATGATATGATTCATGATACATTAGTTTTTTTTTGTTCGTTGTATTTTGGATTATGTTTAATTGGCTTATTCATACTTGTTAACTGAATTATGTTGAATTATGTTTAATGAATGATGTGTTTAATTTAATTAATGATATTATGTGAGAATGTAGGATTTAGCTCTGCTGAATTTGGATAATGTACTATTGCTATTAGACTATGTAGGAAATTGAATGTGGGGATGTAGGATTTGGCTCTATTGAATTTTAGTTGTTGTTAACGGAAAAGGCTAATTGGCTTCCCCCAATTGAGGAAATCCGAACTCTACTTGATCATAGTGTTCATGGAACACTCTTCACTTTTTCTCAAGTTTCTATATCAATGTTTTTTGTTCTTTTCTGAAATGAATTTGTGTTTCATTGTTATTTGATTCTAGATTAGTGCGCGACCTTCTTACACTTTGTAAGCAGTAGACTCGTCAATTAGTATTTCTTGGTCTATTGTGGAGATTATGATAATGAACTACCAGATAGCAATCTTATTTAGATTAGACTAGAAATATGGCCCGCGCGTTGCTGCGGGATTAGAAACCGTATTAAAAAAATATGTTTCAAGGCTATAAGAGATTGTTATAAATCGTTAATGTTATTTAAATTGAAAGATGTTTGAACTTTTTGAAAGAATTTTACATGAAAAGCATAAATTTGGTGCACGAACTTTTTGATACAATCGATGTCATTGCAGACCATTTTAAATTAAACGAAGAAGGTACGTAGTTGGACGCATGGTAGTTGATACGAAATCTACTATCAATGTATCCTGCAAAACATCACAGAAATAATAAAAAACAATTCTGACAGATGACAGTAAAATAGTGAGACAGACTTGTACCAAACGTACAAACAGGACAAATACTAATTAAGGGGAAAATAACCAAGAATAAAAAGATGAGGCTTTTCAAAGCTTACCAAATAGAATCACCAAGCAATTTTCCAAAGCATTAAGTGATTTTTTTGCAATCCTTCTTCGTAAATTTACAAAAAAACACAGGAATAATTATATAAGCAACTAATAAGCTAAAAAGCTGATACAAATTAAGAAGAAAGCATTGAAATTAAAACAATACAATATTTTAACACAAATTGAATGATTCAAATCTCTGTATGGTTATCAATAAAACAGGTGAGTGCATTTTCAACTGTTTGGGTTATTTACTTTAGGTAGATTACACCCTTCACATGCTCGGTGAGGAAAACCAAAACCAATTAATAGCAAATTTAAGGAAAACATCCATTCTAAATATAAAACGAAAGCACATACGTCAAGTCAATCTTCTTACTATATTCATTTAATCCAATGATGCATCAAATATAAAAATTAAATTATACCTCTACTTTGTAACGTTTTGATTTTGTTTTATCTGCAGCTAAACCAAAATTTCGACGGTTCCCAGTATAATTATGTGAAACCAGATAGCATCACCATGTAAATGTCATATTGGGTGTCCACACCCATACCTATCAATTTACACATATATTTGAACTTCGAATTACTTGGGTTTCAAAAATATTTGCACAAAAATTTGAAAAAAAGATGAATAAATTATAACAAAGTAATATTTACTGGCAATTGAGACTGACCCAAACCTGTTATCAAGCTCTCCTATACGAAATAGAAATGGGCTACGAAGAGAACTGTGCAGTATCGACAAAGTCTAGAACAACCTGGAAATTTACAGCCAAAGAAGCAATTATTTACTGAATTATAAAGAAAAATCTTCACAAAATAGTGTCTAGTTTTACAAATAAATGAAACCCAAATTAAATTTCTTGATAAAAACTAAAAGCTTGAAAGATTAACTGATTAAGAAAAAACGCATGAATCCTACCATAAAAAAGATGTAAACTTTTGCATTGGCAAACGATTCATAATCGAAAAATGATATCTTAAACAGAACACATTAATCCAAGTCAAAAGTTCCCAAATTTAAATCAACCAACACGAACAAAATATAAAACATGGTTCATTGTTTCTCTTTGCATTTTAAATCACATGGTGTTTCCCAATATACTATTGTCTTAACATTTCTTATACTCATGCATTAGATAAAAAATGATACCATGCTAAAATTACATGGACTGCTTTATCACGGTTTAAGGAAGCAACCCCAAATCATAGTATCTACATATTTTTTCAGATTATCTAAAACACTTAAGCAAAACCATCACTTCTCCAATGAAGCCATGTGAGGTGAGCACCTGAATCGACAATGAAGAAACAAAGAAATCAATCTTCGATCACCAAACAAAGATTCAAACCCAGAGCTGTGTAATTCATCAAAAAAATTGACATAATTGATGAAAAATTTAACAGAATCGATTGAAGAAAGTGCGAAAGAAATTTCACATCAACCAGCAACCAATCATGCATCCATAACCTTCCAATACGCAAGAAATCGAAATAAAAATGGAGCTCCAAAAATCACACGAAACATAATTTAAAGTTGTGAATCAACAAAACACAGAATTCTGAATAGATCTGCTTGTCTAATAACAAATCAAATTGACAGCAGCAATTCTTTGTTCTACGTTCTTCCGATGATGATCGGGCAATACTGTTGTTAACGTAGATAAAGGTAAAGGACACAAACCTATAACAACTAATTCAAATATATCCCTTTCAATCTATAAACTAATTCAAAGATCTGCTCTTCCTGGATATCTAAGGAAAGGAATAACATCTCTAATGTTGTCAATACCAGTAGCAAACAGAACCATCCGTTCAAATCCTAAACCAAAACCACAATGTTTGACAGCCCCGAAGCGCAGCAAGTCAATGTACCACTCATATGGCTAAGCAGCAAAGATAAAATCTTTTGCAACACATAAATGGAAACACCAAGTCATCCAACACCATCCAAAACCATAAAACAACACAGCAACGACACCAAAATTAAAAAATAAATAAATCCCACATATTGGACTTTCACACTATAGAAAACATAACTTTCACAATATTAAAAAATACAATTTGTTGCAGAAAATGCGTAAAAAACCGAAATTATTTACCTTGAACATAATTGGCTTCCAAGCTTGTATACATAAGCCCCAAAAAACGAAAAGCACAGTGACCTGAAACAAAACACAAAAGCAAATCATACAACCAAACAACAGATCTAACGATATAAACAAAACACCCAAAATTACAAAAACTAAATTCCAAAAAACGTAGAGCAACGCGTTCTGAAACGAAAAACACAAACAAATCATCGACCCAGACAACGGATCTAATGATATAAAGAAAACACCCAGAATAAGAAAAAAAAAATTCATCCACAAATCCCACCTCAACATGGAAAACTACTAGAAAAAAAATTAAAACAGAAAAAAAAAAGTTAAAAAATACTCACCAATAAACGACGGTGGACCTTGGAGGTAACAAATCACCCTGATAAAATGGAAAAACCAACCAAGACGAAAATTAATAGAAATAAATTATTGAAATTAACACCCAAATTCCAGAAATGAAGAAAAATAGAACCTTAATATGGAAATTGAAGCTTTACTTGCAGATCGGCAACGTCAAACGATATCCAGTGGCAGGGTACCTCAAGAGTGAGAGAGACAGCTGAGAGATAAGTGAGAGACGCAGAGAGAAGTCGAGATTTGAGAGCGATAGAAGCAGACTTTTGTTCGAGAGAAAAGTGAATACGGAAGGAAAAGTGGAGAAAATGCCGAAGCAGAACTTTTTCCTGATGATCGACGCGTGGGCAAGGCGGGCAAATCCAGAAGAAGGAGAGGATAAACGCGTGGCCTCGGAGGGTAAGGAAGTCATTTCACTGTAGAAAAGAAGGCAAAAAGGTGACTTAACTAACGAATTGAGGGGCATTTTGGTCCGCACACTGCTCTAGAACAGTAACCAGATGTTTGGGTTTTAGTATATATAGAATGTCTCCCAGTCTATGATTAAGGGTAAAATCGTAAGAGTAAAATCCTAAGAAATTTTTTAACGAGTCCAAATCTTGAGAAATCCTCGAAAGAAATCCACTTAAAAAAAGACTAATGAAAGTTGTAAAACGCAGCTGACTCTCTCTCTCTCTCTCTCTCTCTCTCACTCACTCTAGCCTTCTCATCCCTCAACTTTGAGTTTTTCTGGTCTCAAACTTTTTTTTATTTTTTTTGAGGAACCTCAGCCAAAAGCAACGGAGTCGATATTGTCGAAAAGGCAACGCCGTCAACGAGTCAATAGCCGTCGGCCCTTCAGTCTCATCCGGTTAGTGTCCGCCTTTTTCTCTGTCTATGATTTCACGAATTTGTTTTTTTCTGAGAATATTGTATGTGAATAAGAGAAAATCAAATTGCACCTACACAAATTTGAGTCTGTTTATTTCAATACTCTAATTCCTCCTCCTCGCCCTCGGGGATCCATTACCGGGAATTTCAATCTCAGTTTGGTTAGGTCTTTGATTTCTCATGGATTCGGTAGGCAGAATTTTTTCACTTCTCTCGTTGCTTTTATGGCCGCCCCTAGAAATTACACTAAAAGAAGGTTCATGTTCATCCCTATGCTCTCAATGTCATTGGTTCATTTATTTTATTTTTTGTTTGATTAGTCACCTTTGCATTTTGGACTTTTAGTGCCTGGTGAAACTATGAATTTGTAAATAGTAATTGCAGTTTTCCCAACTTCAATTAACAAGGTTCTGATGATGACGTCCAAATTTATGAAGAGTGTGGACGCCCTTCTTCCAGAGTGCAGTTCAATAATTTGAAATCATCAGTTTTTTAGGTCCTCCTTTGAGAATTGGCCTTGCAAAAAATCAGCCAAATCTCAACTTGCTTAGCTATTTAATAAACAATTTCAGTTAAGGCTGATCCTTTGCAGGGGGCGATCCTTGAAAACCTAAAGTGGTGGACGATTAGAATTACCAAACTATATTGCAGTGTTTGTGTAGTTTGGGGAAGATGTTACACTTATCTTAAAATGTGGACATCCTCTTTTCTTCCTGCCTGGAACTTGAGTATCTCTAAGTGGAGATAATTTGACAATAAAGTTTCTTTTTCCCTATCATTTGAAAAGAAAAATCAGAATTTGAATATATCTTTTTGATTTTCCAGATAAAGTTCCTCAATTTTCTTTGGTGGAGTTAGGGTTTACTAAGAGGTCTGACGATTATGTTTGCTTCTCAACTTTCAAGAATCGGATTTTTGATACTGAAACAGCTCTCCAGAGGTATGCACTAAAATTCTTTATTTAGCTAATGCCTGTTTGAAGCTCACCTTGTTGAAAGCCAAACCATTTTTTCTAAAGTATTTTCTACTCATTTTGATGTTATTATGTGATCATTCTCAAAATGTTTCCCTTTTGCAATCAGCAGGCAAATCCGCATCTTTAACCAGATCAGGATATACGAGTAATTCTTACAGACAATGCTTGCAAACTCTGGTCAGTTACCACTTCTGATATAAATTGATATCCTCTGAGTGATCACTTCACTTAAACAGCTATAGGTGAAAACCTTTTTTTTTTATATATAGTAATCATGCTGGATGCTTAATTTTTATGTTTATTTGTACTCGTGAAGTGCAGAAGAAACCAATCAATTAAAGAAGCTATTTAATGAATTTCCACCAATGAATTGATCTGGATCTTATTTTTCAAGTGACCACTTTTGTCTTCAAATAGTTGATCGCTGTGGTAATGGGACTAATTGGTATGACCTGCATGGTCTAGACTCTAGTTCTATGAGAATTATTGGGTAGGAAAGGAGAGCTGTTAGCCATATATGGTTTCTTCTTCATTTCTTGGTGGAGCTATATTAGAACCATTACTTTCACTCTGACATTTGAGAAGCTCACATTGAATTAACTACTATCTTTTCATTCTTTTCCGCTTAATGTCACAGTGATATTATTCTTTGTTATATGGTATAGAATGAGATATTCTTGCATATCTAGGATAGTAGGATGTAATGCCTTGGGAGTGTTGAAGATGAAATGGACCAAGTTCATTCCAATTTAGTGACACAGCACAAGGGTATAAGGATTACAAATGTAAATCCTGAAGAACAAAGGTTGTTTGATTATATCTGAATTGATGCATTACATTGAGAGCCAAATGGCTTAAATAGACTTAATCACAGGCTTGAAAGGCTCAAGGCTCAAAGGTCCGATTTTTATTACAGAATTTAAAATGCAGTTTTAAAGCCTAAATAGCCTCGGATGACTAAAATCCATCATATGTCGGCGAAGCGGTGAATTTGAACTGGGATGGCCCACATTTTTCGGGAAGGTCTCATGGGCTCAAAACGGAGCTCGGACGCAAAATCTGTAAATTCCTACTACGTCCTTTTTCTTTCCTATGGTCCATTTCGTTTTCAATCTCTTCGGCAATTTGTTCTACGGTCCATTTTGTCTTCAATCCAGACATGGGATAAACAAGCCCCCCCCCCCACCCCCGCGGGTAAAGGCACATGTGGGACCCACTAATTCCTTGAGTATTACAAAATGCAGGATGTCAGGAATAGGAATGATACACGGACCTTGCACTCTTATTCTAAATAAGTAAACATGCCATAGGTCTTACTTATAGTACGGTCTTCTGACTCGTATCAAAGGAAGGAAGCAGTCATGTTTCCTCCCAATGCTAAACTTGGGTCTGCATTTACGAAGACGAGATAAAACAAAATCAGTTTAGTAATATACATTTGGCAAGTAGTTTGTGGTTTGTCATGAGCGTATTTTAAATCTAAATGAAGGCATATATGTCGTTTTCAAATTGTTTTTAGTATTTTAAGTATTTATTGAAGAAGTTGGGAATTGTAAATATACTTGAGTTGGTCAGTGTAGGTAAGTTGAAGGATGAAGGATGATTATTATGAAGTTCTGAGTAGTTTTAAATTTATGTATTTTGTTTAGAGTGAGCTTGCATAGATGTGTTCGCGTTTTTATTCTCATTTAGATTATATTTGTGGTTTCCTTGTCTTATGAACAGTTTGATCACCAGTCTGAAACTAAGTTGTTGCGAGCAACCATCTTTGAGAACCGTTATCTTTTTTATACCAGTAGTGCCAGCCATTCTTCAAATGAAGGGATTGAGCAGAAAGAAAAGTAAGTTGTTTGAGGTTAAACGGGTTCAAAAATAATAATCAGTAATAATGATAGGAGATACGATTCTGAGAAGCAGCATAGTAGTAGGAGAACAGAGTCAAATGAACATGCATGCATGATTTAAACATATATCTCCGCAGTTTTTTGTGCGAAATTTGTTGCAGTTTGGTTTATCTTCACCTCATGGCCCTAATTTTCGTTTGAGTGGAGAGATCTGCAGTAAGATTATTATGTTGTTTCTTCACACCAAGATGAACTATTTGCAGGATATCAGTGACATTTGTTGATAAGGATGGAGAGGAAAAACATATCAAGGTTCCTACTGGAATGTCTATTCTTGAAGCTGCCCATGAAAATGATATAGAACTTGAAGGCAAGGTTCTGATGCTTATTTAATAGTCTTTTTCACCTTAAACCCAAATCTGCTCCATCAATTACTGTCGTCCCCTAGATATCATTTTACAGAATCATTTGTTTCAGGTTTCATAATTTTCATGCATCTCTCCACTGATAGTACTGATAGGTGTTTGTCAAATCAATTTGGAAAATAATTATTGATTGCTTCAGAATGCATATTTCTTGAAAGGGGAATTTGCACAAGTACCACCTAAATTAGCAGGGGCGTAAGCAGTTTCCACCTAGAAAAGAAATTGGCAACAAATATCTAGACTTCATTATTGGCGCAAATCTACCACCTAGGTTGGTCACCAACTATGAAGCACGGATACTTTAGTTTGGTTGTGTATCCTGTATCCAATCCGATACTTCATCGGACACAATACTTGTTGGATACTCGCCGGATAATGGTATTCGGCTTTTAGGATACCATTACACTTTCAGATGAGAAATTAAGAGGAGAGAATTAATAGGAAGCAAAAATTTAGTTGAATTTGATGAATACAAACAGCTTGCCTCTGATTGAAACAAGGGAGATAACTCTCACACTTAAATTAACTTGAATTTAGATGTTTTCACGTTTAAATATGTTTTAAATTATATATTTTTGTTGTTGTATCCATGACGTATCCTAGTTTTTAGAGATTTTACATATCGCTGTGTCTTGGCATATGGTATCATCGTATCCATAATGGTATCCATGCTTCATAGGTCACCATCCATATGCTGTTAAATCAAGCCCTGGTTCCACACGCATGAACTACTCTGAGAAAAATTGGGTAAATGTCCTCTATATTAATTAGAAGAAAAACAAATTAACAAGCTGAAAGAATTCATAAACAAAGAAAAAAAAATTAGAAACTATAGTCCCATAATTACATTACTTCAACTTTCATTACTTCAAGAAAACCCAACAATTGTCCCATAATTACAATTTACCCCTATGTACCAAAGCCTGAACAGTGTCTGAGTTTCAAATAGTATACTTTTAATGCCTGTTTGAACACTTGGGGTAAACTTGGGTTTCAGCTTGAGGCCTGTAAATTTCAATTTGTTGAAAGAACGTTATCCATGTATCAGGTTCGAACCTGTCATTTTTAGAGTCTCCATTCTTTCCTCGTTTAATAGAAACCACTTGGCCATCATCTAGCCGGGCATCGTAGACAGTTCCAGTACCTCCTTCACCTACTTGTGATTGATTGACATAGGGTGGTGGTGGGGGAGGGGGAGATTCCTTGGTGGGTGGTGGTCGTAGTGGAACTTTTCAAGCAATAATTCATTTTTTATATTTTCACACTGAAAAAAGTTATAAGGTAAAGGGCGAAATTTTGGTGAGTGTGGAGTCAAGTGGAAAACTCTTAAACCCCTGTACCCAGTCCCCAACTCCGACCTTCCCCATCCTCGCTATGCAGTTCACAGTTGCAGCGCACAATTCCCCTTCAGGCCTCCACATTCAAGCTATAAAAGATATGTATGATGGAGCAAAGATGTTGTAAGGATTCATGAAGGATAAACTAAAAGCTTTCCTATAATTGTAGGTTTACATCAAGGCTCATCTTTAAATCCTTACCTTTTTACAATGGTAATGGATGAGTTAATGAGTCATATTCAAGATGATATTTCTTTGTGTATGCTTTTCACAGGCGATATAGTGTTGATGGATGAAACTCAGGGGGAGTAAATGCGAAGCTTAACCTTTGGCGGGAAGTGTTGGTATCTAAAGGTCTTCGCCTTGGTAGGTCAAAGCCAGTGTATATGGAGTGCAAGTTCAGTGCGAACACGAGAAATGACGGGATTAAGAACAAGGGTATCCGAGTAAAGTAGGAGTAGCCGAAATTGAAGATAACAACAACAACAACAACAACAACAAAGCCTTTTCCCACTAAGTGGGGTCGGCTATATGAATCCTAGAACGCCATTGCGCTCGGTTTTGTCTCATGTCTTCCGTTAGATCCAAGTACTCTAAGTCTTGTCTTAGGGTCTCTTCCAAAGTTTTCCTAGGTCTTCCTCTACCCCTTCGGCCCCGGAACCTCTGTTGCGTAGTCACATCTTCGAACCGGAGCGTCAGTAGGCCTTCTTTGCACATGTCCAAACCACCGTAACCGATTTTCTCATCTTTCCTTCAACTTCAGATACTCCTACTTTACCTCGGATATCCTCATTCACAATCTTCTCCTTTCTCGTGTGCCCACACATCCCACGAATCATCCCACAAAGCATCCTTATCTCCGCTACACCCATTTTGTGTACGTGTTGATGCTTCACCGTCCAACATTCTGTGCCATACAACATCGCTGGCCTTATAGCCGTCCTATAAAATTTTCCCTTGAGCTTCAGTGACCTACGACAATCACACAACACGCCGGATGCACTCTTACACTTCATCCATCCAGCTTGTATTCTATGGTTGAGATCTCCATCTAATTCTCTGTTCTCTTGCAAGATAGATCCTAGGTAGCGAAAACGGTCACTTTTTGTGATCGTCGCTAGATTGCTCCGGTCATTAGTGTGGATAAGTATATAAATGGATAGAGATAGGAAAGCAAACACCAGATGTACGTGGTTCACCCATATTGGCTACGTCCACGAAATAGAGGAGTTCTCATTAATTGTGAAGGATTTACACAAGTACATAGGTTCAAGCTCTCTTTTAGTGAGTACAAGTGAATGATTTAGTACAAATGACATTAGGAAATATTGTGGGAGAATGATCTCGTAATCACGAAACTTCTAAGTTCCGGAGTGTGGTATCGTCTTGACTTGCCTTATCTGTCTCGTAGGTAGATGTGGCATCTTCTCTGGAAGTACTCTTCCTCCATCCAGGGGTGGTATCTTTAACTGGTGGAGATGCACAAGGTAATGTATCAATTTCACTTGAAGCTTACTTGTAGTTTCAGGCTTGGTCAAGCGCGATACAAACCATGTAGTAGGAGTCCTCCAAGTCGCCGAGCTAGGGGATCTGCTGAAAGAGGTGACAGACAAGGTAAGCAATCGGAGCTCCAAGCAATCAGTCCCAGATCAGAACTTTGATTTCGAGTTCCGGCTGATTGTTCACATTCTCCCTATCTTGCAGGCAGCATGAAGGATAAAGAGAAGAAAAATGAGAAGAGATGATATGGGATACTTTTTGCTTTTGAAGAAGTAACTTTCCACAGGCTTATTCTTGAACTGAGCTGGAGGGTTTTCTGGTTTCCTCCAGAGTATAAGGCCGACTGAAGAATTTGAGGGTCAAAACAAGTCCATCAAATCTATAGTACGTTCGACCCTGCTGATATGGGATACTTTTGCTTTTGATAGAGTAGTGGATGTATCGGCACGTGTGCTGTTACGCTTGTCTCCACATGCTTCCTTGTATCCTTCTCTCACTTGCCCTATATGTTCCTCAGGCAGATGCGGTATCTTCCCTGGAAGCATAAGATGTTGAAGATGAGTACTCGAGAGCAATGCCAGGTAAGTAATCAAGGTAAGGGGTTCCAGGCAGTCAGTTCCTGACTGGAAGCTTGATTCCAAGTGCTGATTGATTGCTCTCTTTCTCCTTGTCTTGTAGGTAAGAACAAGGCCAAAGGAAAAGACAGGGAAAAAACATGATATAGGATACTCTTGCTTTTAACCCTGATGATATGAGATATTCTTGCTATAGTATAGCTTGTTTGCAGAGGTATTATCGGGGGGAAAGAAAGCTGAATATTTCGAAAGGCTTCTTTGGGAGTGCCCTCTCAGATATGAGGAATGGTTGAGCATTTTTGCAGGTCTACCTGTCTGTTGGGGATGGAGGTCAACATATGTAGGAGTCTCCCTAACAACAAGTAGTAATGCTATTCCTTTACCCTGCTTGGTCATAACACGATAGTGGGAGCTGCCAGCTTCACATGTTTTAACTTTGTCAGAGCACTTTGAAAAAGTGGTCTATGGTATCTGGAAAGCTGATGTTGCGTGTAAAGATTACAGACAAGCTTTATCCAAGGAGATCCGGCTCTTGAAGTTGGGAAAGAGGTGCATCTTCGGTTTTCGAACAAGCAATCCAGTCGGAGATCTGGCTCTCGAGATTCGGAGAACGATGCCTTTTCGATTTTTGAGAAAGCCATCCTGCTAGGGGTCTGGCTCTCGAGATTCGGAGAGCAGTGTCTCTTCGATTTTTGAGAAAGTAATCATGTTGGGAGTCTGGCTCTCGAGATTCGGAGGGCGGTGCCTCTTCGATTTTGGAGCAAGCAATCTTGTTGGGAGTGTTTTCTCGAATGTGAGAAAAGGTTGGGCATGTTTGCTAGTCTATCTTGCCACGAAGCACAGAGGTTGACACACAGGGACTTTCCAATTATCCAGCAGTGGTACTGTTCCTTTACCCTTGTGGGTAATAATATGGTAGCTAGACCTTCAAAATTTATGTGTCTAAACTTTGTTAGTGCTGTTTCTTTGCTATTATTTTACCCTTCTTGGTCAGAGCGGTGTAGTGAGAGCTGCAAGCTTCACGTGTCTCAACTTTGTCAGAGAACTTTGGCAAAGTTATCTGTGGTACCCATGAGCTAATGTTGCGTGTGGGAAAGTGGGTGATTGAACAGTAAGATTCATGTGCTTTCTACTTCACCAGAAATCTTCGACATAATGCCCATAATTTCCGCAAAGCTGACAGGTGCTGACAAGGCTGGAAAAGTAGGTGCCTCTTCGATTTCTGAGATCGGCCCTCGTGGTCTCTGAGCAGCCTAGCTTTTGAGAAAGCAAGCACCTCTTCGATTTCTGAGATCGGCCTTCGTGGTATTTGAGCAGCCCAACTTTTGAGAAAGCAAACGTCTCGTGGTCTCTGAGCAGCCTAGCTTTTGAGAAAGCAAACGCCTCTTCGATTTCTGAAGCTTCGTCGAGTGCAGATTTTTATAGAGGCTGGCATTAAGTTCCAAAGCACACTTGAATCTCCACCAGTAGAAGCTCCATTCTTGCACTTCTAAGATCTTGATTTGTCCGACCTCTTCTCTCTTCAACACCTTTGAAAATGTCTGGCCCCTCCGACCGTCGTTTTGACTTGAACCTTGTTGAAGAGGCAGCCACGCCTTCTCCAGACAACATATGGCGCCCATCCTTCGTCTCCCCTACTGGTCCTCTTACTGTTGGGGATTCCGTGATGAAGAATGATATGACCGCTGCGGTAGTGGCCAGGAACCTTCTCACTCCCAAAGATAACAGACTACTTTCCAAACGGTCTGATGAGTTGGCTGTTAAGGATTCTCTGGCTCTCAGTGTTCAGTGTGCAGGTTCTGTGTCTAACATGGCCCAACGCCTATTTGCTCGAACCCGCCAAGTTGAATCATTGGCGGCTGAAGTGATGAGTCTCAAACAGGAGATTAGAGGGCTCAAGCATGAGAATAAACAGTTGCACCGGCTCGCACATGACTATGCTACAAACATGAAGAGGAAGCTTGACCAGATGAAGGAATCTGATGGTCAGGTTTTACTTGATCATCAGAGATTTGTGGGTTTGTTCCAAAGGCATTTATTGCCTTCGTCTTCTGGGGCTGTACCGCGTAATGAAGCTCCAAATGATCAACCTCTGCTGCCTCCTCCTTCTAGGGTTCTGTCCAGTACTGAGGCTCCAAATGATCCCCCTCCAGTGCCTGCTCTTTCTGGGGCTCCGACTGCTGAGACTTCTCCTAAGCAACCTTTGTGAAGGCTCCCTCTTGTTTGTTTATTTTGACTCATGTATATGTACATATTTATGACTTATCGGGGATATCAATAAATAGCTTTCCTTCATTTCAACGTATTGTGTTGAATACACCAAAGCCTTCTTCGCTAAGTTCTCTGAATTTTCTTTTGTTGAAGCTTGTATGTTGAAGCTTGTATGTTGAAGCTTTGTGAGTGGAGCATGTAGGTTGAGGTAGTATTCCCTTAATTTCCCGAGTGAGAAAAACTTCTCAATTGGAGACTTGGAAAATCCAAGTCACTGAGTGGGATCGGCTATATGAATCTTTGAACGCCATTGTGCTCGGTCCTGTGTCATGTCCTCCGTTAGATCCAAGTACTCTAAGTCTTTTCTTAGAGTCTCTTCCAAAGTTTTCCTAGGTCTTCCTCTACCCCTTCGGCTCTGAACCTCTGTCCCATAGTCGCATCTTCTAATCGGAGCGTCAGTAGGCTTTCTTTGCACATGTCCAAATCACCGTAACCGATTTTCTCTCATCTTTCCTTCAATTTCGGCTACTCCTACTTTACCCCGGATATCCTCATTCCTAATCTTATCCTTTCTTGTGTGCCCACACATCCAACGAAGCATCCTCATCTCCGCTACACCCATTTTGTGTACGTGTTGATGCTTCACCGCCCAACATTCTGTGCCATACAGCATCGCCGGCCTTATTGCCGTCCTATAAAATTTTCCCTTGAGCTTCAGTGGCATACGGCGGTCACACAACACGCCGGATACACTCTTCCACTTCATCCATCCAGCTTGTATTCTATGGTTGAGATCTCCATCTAATTCTCCGTTCTTTTGCAAGATAGATCCTAGGTAACGAAAACGATCGCTCTTTGGTATTTCTTGATCTCCGATCCTCACCCCCTAACTCGTTTTGGCCTCCATTTGCACTGAACTTGCACTCCATATATTCTGTCTTTGATCGGCTTAGGCGAAGACCTTTAGATTCTAACACTTCTCTCCAAAAGTTAAGCTTTGCATTTACCCCTTCCTGAGTTTCATCTATCAACACTATATCGTCTGCGAAAGCATACACCAAGGAATATCATCTTGAATATGTCTTGTTAACTCATCATCCATTACCAACGCAAAAAGGTAAGGACTTAAGGATGAGCCTTGATGTAATCCTACAGTTATGGGAAAGCTTTCGGTTTTTCTTCATGAGTTCTTACGGCAGTCTTTGCTCCTTCATACATATCCTTTATAGCTTGGATATATGCTACTCGTACTCCTTTCTTCTCTAAAATCCTCCAAAGAATGTCTCTTGGGACCCTATCATACGCTTTTTCCAAATCTATAAAGACCAAGTGTAAATCCTTTTTCCCATCTCTATATCTTTCCATCAATCTTCGTAAGAGATAGATTGCCTCCATGGTTGAGCGCCCTGGCATGAACCCGAATTGGTTGTCCGAAACCCTTGTCTCTTGCCTCAATCTATGCTCAATGACTCTCTCCCAGAGCTTCATTGTATGACTCATTAGCTTAATACCCCTATAGTTCATGCAATTTTGTACGTCGCCCTTATTCTTGTAGATAGGCACCAAAGTGCTCGTTCGCCACTCATCATTTGGCATCTTCTTCGTTTTCAAAATCCTATTGAAAAGGTCAGTGAGCCATGTTATACCTGTCTCTCCCAAAACTTTCCACACTTCGATTGGTATATCGTCTGGGCCTACTGCTTTTCTATGCTTCATCTTCTTCAAAGCTACAATCACTTCTTCCTTCCGGATTCGACGATAAAAAGAGTAGTTTCTACACTCTTCTGAGTTACTCAACTCCCCTAAAGAAGCACTCCTTTCATGTCCTTCATTGAAAAGATTATGAAAATAACCTCTCCATCTATCTTTAACCGCGTTTCTCTGTAGCAAGAACCTTTCCATCCTCATCCTTGATGCACCTCACTTGGTTTAGGTCCCTTGTCTTCTTTTTCCCTTGCTCTAGCTAGTTTATAGATATCCAACTCTCCTTCTTTGGTATCTAGTCGCTTATACATATCGTCATAAGCCGCTAACTTAGCTTCTCTCACAGCTTTCTTCGCCTCTTGCTTCGCTTTTCTATACCTTTCACCATTTTCATCGGTCCTATCCTTGTATAAGGCTTTACAACATTCCTTCTTAGCCTTCACCTTTGTTTGTACCTCTCATCGTCCACCACCACCAAGAGATTCCTTTTGGTGTGGGGCAAAGCCTTTGGACTCTCCTAACACCTCTTTTGCTACTTTTCGGATACAACTAGCCATGGAATCCCACATTTGGCTAGCTTCCCCCTCTATATCCCACACACACTGGGTGATTACTTTCTCTTTTGAAAATGACTTGTTTTTTCTTCTTTTAGATTCCACCATCTAGTCCTTGGGCACTTCCAAGTCTTGTTCTTTTTTCTCACTCTTTTGATATGTACATCCATCACCAACAAGCGATGTTGATTAGCCACGCTCTCTCCTGGTATAACTTTGCAATCCTTACAAGTTATACGATCCCCTTTCCTCATTAGAAGAAAATCTATTTGTGTTTTTGACGACCCACTCTTGTAGGTGATCACATGTTCTTCTCTCTTCTTAAAGAAGGTGTTGGCTAAGAAGAGATCATATGCCATTGCAAAATCCAAGATAGCTTCCCCATCCTCGTTTCTCTCCCCAAAACCATGACCACCATGAAAACCTCCATAGTTGCCTGTCTCCCTGCCCACGTGTCCATTTAAATCTCCTCCTATAAATAACTTCTCCGTCTGAGCAATTCCTTGCACCAAGTCTCCAAGGTCTTTCCCAAAATTTCTCCTTCGAACTCATATCCAACCCTACTTGAGGTGCGTACGCACTAATCACATTGATAAGTTCTTGTCCTATTACAATTTTGATTGCCATGATTCTATCTCCTACCCTCTTGACATCTACAACATCTTGTGTCAAGGTCTTGTCCACGATGATGCCAACACCGTTTCTCCTTCTATTTGTGCCCGAGTACCAAAGTTTAAACCCTGAGTTTTCTAGATCCTTTGCCTTAAGACCAACCCACTTAGTTTCTTGTAGGCACATAATATTTATCCTTCTTCTCACCATAACTTCCACTACTTCCATAGATTTTCCCGTTAAGGTTCCTATATTCCACGTTCCTAAACGCATTCTACTCTCCTGAACTCTACCCTTCTGTCCTAGCTTCTTCACCCTCCCCTGTCCAATGTAGTCAAAGTACTTCTTTTGTGTGTCCCGTGTAAAGTTGATAGGTGCATATGCGCCCAAACAACTTTGAGTGGAGTCGTTCGAAAAGAAGTTTCTATGGCCCCCTTGCTCATTTAACACTGCATCCGGGTGCCTATGGAGATACAGCGACCCTTGCTCACTTATCACTGTGCTCGGGCCACACAGCGCGCCACTTACGGGTGACGCCCTAGCTTTAGCGCGATTTCGTTCTGAATTCATTTTCATAAGGATTCGACGTAACTGTGGAGTGCCGGCTGTCGACTACCTGACGTCCTCCCCCTCCTCCTTTACCCGGGCTTGGGACCGGCCATGTAAGATAAACTTACATAGGCGGAGTTAAATTGAAGATAAGATAAGAGAAAATTAATTAAGGTGGTTTGGACATGTGAATCGAAGACCTATAAACGCTCCAATTAGAACTACGAGACACATGCTCAGGGCCAAATGAGTAGAGGAAGACCTTGGAAGATTTGGAAAGAGAGTCTAAGAAAAGACTTGGAGTACGTGTATCTAACGGGAGACTTGACACAAAACTGAGCGCTTTGAAGTTCTAGGATTCATACAGCTGACCCCATTTAGTGGGATAAGGCTTTGTTGTTGTAGCTTTTTTTATATTTTTAGGTTTTCTAATACAAGGATAAATATTGGAATATTTTAACAAAGTTTTATTGAGTGGGAACCTCCTAAAGAAAATTATAGGGTGTTCTTAAAGTTATTTAACAAATATTTAGATGGAGTTAGGATAAAGGTGGTACATTCACACAGTATAGAGTTTAGGTTAGACACCCCTAATAGTTCAAAGTGGTATTTGTGCAAATTTCCCTTTCTTAAAATGGATCAGACTTAGTTTGGAAACACAACGACAGTCACTACCTTGTCAAATAGTTCTTCAATCATATTTACAGAATATTGTGTTTCTTATCTCATATCAGGAGCATGCGAAGGTTCACTTGCCTGTTCGACATGTCATGTGATTGTGATGGTATGTTGTATATGTTTAAAGAAACTTGCTTTTAACTTATATTTGGCTTGCATAAAGTACGAGGAGCTAACCATCGAATCATAGTGTAGGACGTGGACTATTACAACAAATTAGAAGACCCAATTGATGAGGAAAATGATATGTTGGACTTGGCCTTTGGACTTACTGAAACGTAGGTTTTCACCTATAATTGTTATAATTTTATTTGTGAGTTCATGTTAAAATGTTATGTTTCTTCGTTGTAGGTCTCGCTTGGGTTGTCAAGTCATTGCAAAACCTGAACTTGATGGAATTCGTTTAGCAATTCCAGCTGCCACCCGAAACTTTGCTGTCGATGGCTATGTTCCTAAACCACACTAGAGATGATGCACCTGAACTTGATGGAATTTTTGTAGCTATTCCTGCAGCCACCCAAAGCGATGATTGTGGAAGAGTTGGTTGAGTGTAACGTATAACTTCACAGTTTTGGAGCTCCTGTATTTTATTGGACCAATGAGCACGACTTGAGATATATATATTTGTTACTTTTATCAATTATGTGCCAGTTTGGGAGTAATTCTGGGAGGGTCATAATAACTTGTAGAAAAAAATATGTGATGGATTAGAGCCAAGATGGATCTACTAAATTAACCATCTACCATTAGACCTTGGAAATCGAAATGAATTAGTTTGAAGAGGGATTTAATTTATGAGTACCTTTTTTTTTCCAATTACGGAGTTGGAGGAGCATGATAACTTGTAGGCAAAAATATGCGAATTTAAATAAAAAAATTTGGAATGCATTTAGAGATTTTGAGAATTTCAAATTTCTGATTCAAAATTTCTGAAGGCTTTTTAGTCAAAATGGTCATTGAGATTTGCCTAACTTCTCATCTTAGTCCTTGAGATTTGAAATCAATAAAAGTGATCCTTGAGATTGTCCATCATCAATCATTTTGGTCATTCGGTGAAAATTATGTTAAATAAGGATCCAAATGACAAAAATTACCTTCAATATAATAAACAATAGGTCAAATGATTTGACAAAAAATGAGGGTATTTTTGTCATTTTATCTTTATTTTATGAAGATTTTTCACGAAATAACCAAAATGATTTATTGTGGACAAAATCATAATCAGTATGATATAGTTTTGGCATTTTTTTCATAATCGGTTGTTATTATACCGAACTGACAATTAATGATATGGCTTTGGTATTGGATTTTGTATACTAGTGGTATGCATGGAAGAAAATATTGATAATATCGGCAATATATCGCCGATATTATCGAATTTTGCCCAAGCCGATATTTTAACTGGTATCCAAGGGGTTTTCGTCCAAATTTCGCGATATTATCGCGAAATATCGGAACTATGCAAGTCGGAGACGAACACCGGAGCTTCTACAGCTCCGGCCGACTGTAAAACAACCCCCTAGACTTCGATCTAGGTATGAACATGAAATAGAAGACATGAGGAACGTTTTTATAACGTCCGTTTGCCGTGAAACGGCCGGAGGTGTTCGGAAAATTCTTGGACACCCACGGCCTCGCCGGAGATGGGTGTGCCTATTCCCGAGTCGATTTCATCCCAAAATCCTTGCAAAAAGACGAGATAGAACTTCAATTTCATATCTAACTTCGATCTAGAACATAAAATGAAAAACCCAAAGCTTACCTAACCGGAGAAATTGAAGGAACTCGCCAGAGCAGGTGCGATGGTGTGCGTGTGGGTCTCGGACCTCGGTGCATGTGGGTCTCAGTGCAGAGAGAAAGGAGAAGGAGGAGCAGAAGGCTGTCTCGGTGCATGTGGGTCTCGGTGCAGAGAGAAAGGAGAGGGAGGAACAGAGGGCCGTGGTGTGTGTGTGGGAGAAGGGAGAAGAGAGATCGAGAGATCTCTGTGTGTGTGTGTGTGTGTGCGTGGGAGAAGGGAGAAGAGAGATCGAAGAAGGGAGAAGAGAGATCGAGAGATCTGTGTGTGTGTGTGGGGGGGGGGGAGAAGGGAGAAGAGAGATCGGAGAAGGGAGAAGAGAGATCGAGAGATGTGTGTGTGTGTGTGTGTGTGTGTGTTTGGGAGAAGGGAGAAGAGAGATCGGAGAAGGGAGAAGAAGAGAGATCAGAGATCTCTGTGTGTGTGTGTGTGTGGGAGAAGGGAGAAGAGAGATCGAGAAGGATCGAGAGAGAGAGAGACGGAGGTCGTGTATGCGTGTGTGATGTTTGTGTGCGTGCGTTGTGTGCGTGTGTGGTTGCGTGCGTTGTGTGTGTGTGTGTGGGTTCCTACTGTCAGGAGGACATGACTCACTCAGTGTCCTAAGTTTGACATCAAATTATCACGAATTCAATATCAATTTTGTTTTGTTGGTTTTTTTATGTGTTTAAGTTTACATATTACAATTAAATGATAATCATCTTTATTTGTAAGTTAATAAAATCTTAAATTGGATGCCAATTTATCACAAATTCTATACTAAATTATCAATGTTAGCACTTGTGTGGCATGACCAAAATCCACACTCCTACATTAATTACTACATATTTTCTACACTCACAATGTTTGTCAGCTCGCTATATAATCAACTTGATAATGTTAAATCCATCATGCAATGTATTTCCTTCCAATTTTTTGATAAACTAATAGATAATTGACTAAATAAACATCCTGCAAAGTTTCAATAAAAATTTCCAAGTTTTTCTTACAATTTCCGTGGTTTCCATGTAATTTTTATCGATATCGATATTATCCCGATATTTCCATCAATATTTCCGTGTTTTCGGACTACTGATATTTCCGATATTACCGATATTTTCTTCCTTGACGGTATGCCATACCTACCGATACATATATATTTTCTATTTAGATATTTTAGGTATTTTTTACATGCTTGACATGTGAAGAACTGGAAAAATGTAAGTATTGCTATATTTTTACTAATTCTAATTATAGTACTTCAATCCAATGTTTATTGATATTTTTAATTTATTATTCAATATTACTTCTTATTCTAATCATACTTTTTATGTAACATTTGAAGTGAAATAGTTGATGGTTCTACATCTCAAGTAGGAACATCAATTCCAAGTGCTTCGAAAAATTGATTCATAGAAGATTTCATATGCATTGGTTGTTGCTACTTCAGTGATGTTGCATTATCATAACAAGTTATTTGTTTTGGAATTATAATAAGGGGATCTTATAACCAGAACCATAATTTTAAGTTTTTTGTTTATGCATTAGTTGCTACAATTGAATTTAGACAGTGATGTTAGTTGGACTTTTGAGTTTGTTGGATTATGTTTGCTGACATTGTTGTTGGTTTATTAAGTTTTGATTTGATTTCCATTTTAATTTGTTAAGTCATGATTATGTTGGCTTATCATCAATCGAAAAATTGCAGCAGCAACTTCTTTTTCTCTTTTTTGATTTGTTGTTTACGGGTCAGTGCATCGTCTTGAGCTGTTGTTTTGTAACTTATTTGCAAATCATCGGTTATGCCATTTACCAACTGAACCAGCCAATAATTTTGGCTAAACCGATTTTTGGCAACCGCAAAAAGACAGGTTGGCTAGCGATAATTGATTTTCGGTAATTATGTTTATGTGGCTGGCAGGTGGCACAAGGAATTTGGCACTGTTTGCCAACCGAACCTAACCCTAACTGTCACATCCTGGCCCGGGCCCCCACCATATCTCGGGCTCGACTCTGCTATAGCACGATATTATCCGTTTTGAGCCTTGACCACGTCCTCACGGTTTTGTTTCTGGGAACTCACACGAGAACTTCTCAGTGGGTCACCTATCATGGGATTGCTCTCGCGCGCCAATGGAATCTGAAGCCAGTGAGCTCCCAAAAGGCCTCGTGCTAGGTAGAGATGGGAATATACATATAAGGCTTACAGGATCCACTCCCCTGGACGATGTGGGATGTTACCCTAACTCTAATGACATTTTTGGGAGATTTGGCAAAATAACCTAAAGTTTGACCCTATATAGAAGTATAGTCACATTTTATTAAATTTATGATAATTATTACCAAAAGTTGATATGAAAGTACTAGTATACCTTTATATCCTTAAATGGCTGCCGTTGTATGATTGTATCCAAAAGAAATCTTAAGATTGCCTTCAAATCATAGAAAAATAGGTGGCCTGAGGTTTGAATGTAGATTCGCAAATGCATGGTTGGGATTGTATTGGTGGTTCTCACCCAGAACGTTATGGTTAGGAGTTGAGGTTGAGCGTGACGGTGGTCTTAGATCCCGTCAACGGTATTGATTTCAAACTTCATTGAGTCGTTGAAGTCAGACCCAACCGAAGTCATCTCCATTCTTTTGATGAGGCATTGGGTCCAAATGACTTGAGCAATTAAAATTAAAATTAATTATGAAAATGAAAATTAATGTAACAATCAACAATCATGGCTGGGTAGATAACGGAAGTGGAGGATGGAGGGGAAGGTGTAGGTGGCGACTGACTAGGGAGGAAGGGATCTGTAGAGGCTTTGGAGCAATCGGAGATGGGGGAACAGCTTCAGCAGCTTGCTTTTTTGTTTTATTGAAAATTCACGTTTTACATGAGGGTATATTAGTACTTTTGTATTAGCTTTTGGTTATAATTATCACAAATTTAAAGAGTGGCTATAATTCTGTATGGGGTCAAAATGTTGGTTATTTTTCCAAACTTCCCATTATTACTTAACTGAAATGTGAAAATGAATGAGTCAAAAAGCATAAAATAGGGTAAATTACACTTTATCACCTCAGGTTTGAGCTCTATTGCAACCTTATACAACATCTTCAAAAAATTTCACTTTCATACCTCCGTACTATTTTATTTCAATATAATACATCTGTTATATTTTCCATCTATTGGTCTGTTAAGAGCTAACGTGGCTTCCACATTTGTGCCACGTGATAATTTTTTTTATGCATTTTGTTTGTACCATACTTGACCAATCCCGAAACTATTGAGCACCGGTCAACGTTATACCATCAAGGACCCAGAAGAGCTTCCCTACAACCAGGAGGCCAATCACAGCGCAACACGTGTCGACATCAGAAGCCAATTATAGCACGACACGTGTCAACATCAGAAGCCAATCACAACACGACACGTGTCAATGTCAAAATGAAACTAGAAATTCTCTTCTATAAATAGAGAACATTCTCTCACAATATTTCCTAATGTTTTGTACTAAATCATTCACTAGTACTCATTAAAAGAGAGCTTGAACCTATGTACTTGTGTAAACTCTTCACAATTAATGAGAACTCATCTACTCCATGGACGTAGCCAATCTGGGTGAACCACGTACATCTTGTGTTTTCTTCCCTGTCTCTATCCATTTTCATACTTATCCACACTAGTGACCGGAGCAATCTAGCGAAGGTCACAAACTTAATACTTTCTGTTGTACCAAAGTCCCCACTGATTTTGTGCATCAACATTTGGCGCCGTCTGTGGGAACGACACTTATTCCCACTCTCTTCAGCTTTGTCAAGCTGGTTTCCACCATTTGTACACTCTCTTTTAACCAGGCATCCCTCTCCAACATGGGAAGCGAAGGAAGCCACATCACACAAAATGACACCCCTTTTGCACCTAGTGCAAAGCAACGAAAGAATGAAGGAAAGAGGGTTGCTCTTCAAGCTAAAGTCGATGAGCTAGAAGCTCAAAACAACAAGATAGCAATGAAGAATAAGGTCCTCCAGGAGCAGTATG